TGAACTGAACTTAAAAAAAAAAGCAAATAATGCACCAGTTTGTTTTTAAGCGTGCAGCATGTAGACGGAGGACAAATTAAAGGAAAATCCAACATGTTGGGTGTCAGAGTTCTGCCACAACAGCTCCTGTGCATCTCTGCAATCATTCTCAAAGTGTCTGGGACCCAAATATTAGCTTATAATATAATATCAATCCATCCGTCCATCATCGCTACACCTTTATCGTCACTGGGGTCGCAGGTTCACCTGGACAGGTAACCAGTCTATCACCTCCTCACCGGGACGTGAACCGCCGACCTTCTAGCTGCGAGGCGACGATGCTAACCACCAAAACCACCCTGCAGCCCTATGACATCATATAATATATCAAAACCATCTGATTCCCGTCACTGCAGGACTTAATAGATTCAGGTTTTGCCTTTAATTTGTCAACAAGTCACGTATTTTATTTAAAAACTACAGGATTTGAACCAAAGTGTTGCACAGTTAAAACAGCAAAACACAAAAAGACAAATCTGAATACAAGTCAATAAAATAAAGAGAATAACAGACAGAACACAGACATTAAAGAGCAGATTAGGCCCTCACACAGAGAATTACTCTAATCAAGACGTGGACAACTTCTTCAAAGTCTTCAGGACAGAGATCAGCCTGAACTAAAGCTGAAGTGAAAAACATCTCGTTCAGACCAATGAGCCGACATGTCCGTCAAATCTGAGGCAGCCGTCGAGCAGAATTTATCACAAAAAAAAATGACTGCATGAAGCCGAACGGGGTCATTTAGAAGCTCCGCTCGACCCAAACGAGCAGGTTTAGGTCATCTCAGGCTTTAACGTCTCCACCAGGAGCTGCACAATGTTTAGATTTATTCACCAAAAAGGACTTTCCTGTTTCTTCAATAACAATGAGACACACGCAAACTCCTCGTTGGTTTAATTATCAGTGCAGATGCTGTTTTCATTATTAATTAATTAACTTCCCCGCTCACCTCCCAAATGTGGGTTAATTACAGCGTGACCAGCAAAGACCCTGAACTTCCTCCTTGTGGGCCGACCGGCAGCTTGTTTGTGTTCTCATTAAATATATATATAGATATGTTCTGTGGTTTAATTATTCTGGATTTATTAATCGAATGTCACGACAGGAGCAAATCCACTTCAGGAGGTTCTTCGTATTTGTTAAATTTAGTTTATCAACCTGGTGTGGCCCAAGCGGACTTAAAATACACAGATTTATTCCAAATATCTCCGAGCATGTGGAATAAAAGTCACATTTTTTGAGTTTGTGGAAAGTGTGTTTCTCCTGTCGTCCAGCAGATGGCGCCACCCAACCGTCCAATGCATTATTCAGCAGAAACACGAGGATTCATATTTAATCGTGTTGGAGGAACACATTAAAACCAGACCAGCGATGTTGCACATGGACATACGTACGATTCGTTTTAATAATTTACAGGTCAAACACGAGGCGGGAACAAAGGCGGTGAATTAAACTGAGAACATTCTGGTATATCTGTGTGTGGTTTTATTGCGTAGAAAGTTGTTGAGTATAAAGGAAGCAGGTGGACGACAGAACGTTCAGGAACTACAGGTGTTCTCCTTTATTCTGAACTAAACTATTCCTCCGTTTTTTATTATTTTACAAAAATAAGCGGCGATGTCGTTGCTGGAGGTCGACCTTGGGCTCATCTCAGGCACTCGAAGCAACACGGCACGTTTTTGAAGAGCCGGTAGTACTCCTCCTGGATCTGGAACGACACACAGGACACAGGACGTGGAGTGTAATCCACAGTGGAGAGTATTCGAGTACATTTACTTTATTGTTTACATGTAGTTTTACTTTTGCTGCATTTATCTCACAGCTTTAAGAACTTATAACTGGTCAAAATCTTTCTATTAAACAAGAATTGCTAAAAAAAAATACTATAAAACAACTTTTTTGTCGATTACGGCTAAACTAATCTAATCTAATCTAATCTAATCTAATCTATGTAATATATAATGACATATAATAATAATATAATACAAATGATTACACTGGGTTACAAAAAAATATAGATTTTTGAAGGTGTCTAGGATTTTTTAACTGATTTAGGACATCTTTGCAACGCTGAATCCAAACATGAAATCTGCTTATCTCTGTATCAGGTCAGCTCAATTTTTAAAAAATCGATTTTGCCACTAAATCAATTAAATTTCTTGACATCAGCAATTAATCTATTTGAGTATTTCTCATATGAAATCAGATTTTAGAGGAAACATTTCATTTTCTAATCCTTTTCATGAGCTAAATGATCCAAAATTTGGAGTATTTGTACTAGTAAATAAAAGTAAATTGCGTTTCATCAAATCAAAATTTTGACCTCATTGAGCAAAACCGACGTAATATTTAGATTCAGCACATTGTCCAAAATCAGCTCAAAAACCTTTGACACCATAATGGGTGTAGAGCAGTGTTACAATCTAATGAGCCACAATATGCTATAAAATATTATATTTATATATGATATGCTGTAATGTGATAAAATTGTTTTTAATAGCTGATAATTATATACCAGAATATAATATGTAATATTATAATTTAATATGCCATAATTTGCTATATGACATGCTTTAATGTGATATGATTTAATGCAATATAATAGACTTTTTAAGAACTAATAAGAATTAAATTTGATAACAAATATATTATTATAATATGAAATATTATAATCTAATTTTATGATACATTCATATATCAGCAATTTCAGTGGGGGTTTCCACCAAAAGGATCAATAAAGTTCTATTCTATTCTCTATAATATGCTGTAATGCAATATGATGATATAATGCAATGTAATAGACTTTTGAATAATATGTAATATGATATGTTATATTTTAATCTAATATGCAATTTTATGATATATGATATGCTGTAATGTCATTTAATATAATTTAATGTAATATAATGGACTTAAATAACAATTNTAACATAGTCACCTCCATATGTTTCAGAAACCAATATTTTTTTAACAGAATATAAAAATATATATATAAATGTCCTATCTCATGGCATCAGTGTGAGGTTATCAATTACATTCATAACTGCCAAAGTCTAAACGTTGCTTCATGAACTGTTCTCCAGAAACTTTGTGCTGATGTCTCATTAATATTATTATTGTTGTTCTTTATTATTGGCTCCACGACTGCATCAGAAACATGGAATTTGACTGTATTTTACAGTCTTTCTAACAATATTCATTACATAAACCTCCAAATAACACATTAAATGATGAGCACCAGATGGTGCGCTGCCACTTATTCCACTTGTTTTATGAATAATATACAGAATTAACTGCTGCTTTACAGTGTTTCTGACATTAAACGGGGCTCTGCTGTGGTTCCTACCTGCAGGGCGAAGGACTGTGCAGACGCGCCGCTGATCTTGACTATGCAGGACATTTTCACGCCAGACTCGGCCGAGTTCGGCATCCCGAGTCCGAAGTTCACCTCGCCGTCGTATTTGTACTCGTAGGTTTTCTTGGGATTCAGGCGAGGCTCTGGAAAGTGTTTATTTAGTGTTAAATCTCACTTTTTGTTCAAATGTGATCAAATTATTGCTATGCTTTGACTGTATGAGCAAGATAGAGAGACTCACCATATTGGGGACTTTGGCTGGCTGGAAGTTTAAAAGAGACGATGTTAGTGTTAAAATATATATGAGAATATACAGTAAGCTTAATTTTTATTGGATTTTTTTGTATGTATGTTCTAAAAAATGCTCCAAATCAAGAGGAAGCAATGAGAAAAGTGTGTTTTTTTTAACATCTTTGGAAAACTAACAGAAAATAAAACTGTAAATAACATCAGACAGCATAATTTGATTGTTTTAGCTCACTTCACATGAGCTGGAAAACATCATAAATGAATTTATCATCAGTCCTGATGTGTTTGATGGTATTTACACACAGTTCTGCTCATTTCTAGTGAACTAAATTTAAAATATGTCATTTATGTTTACATTAATTAACACGAATCCAACTTCAAATGTTGAGTTGAATGAATAAAACAATGAAAAATAATCTTGTAGGAAACAAAAGCAGACTTCAGGAAACACTTTTTCTAATTTTACAAAAGAAAAACCATAAAATTGTTATAGTTTTTTTTCATAATAATTAAAACGGTTCGTCGTTCCCCTGCAGATTTATATTTTATCTCACTCTAACCGAAGCAGTCAGATCGTTGTGAGAAAAAAAAAAATGCTGTAAATTCTCAAAATTAAACAGAAAAAACTCTTCACGTAAGTCTGCCTGTGACGAGTTGATTCAACTTAATATTTTAGGTTTATTGAACTCGTTTCCTCGAGTTCAGCTGATTTAATTTTACACATTCACACTTTATAAGACGACTAATTAATCAGCTCGAGTGCATCTTAAAGGCAGCAGAGCAGCTTTTACAGTACATTTTGCTTTAAAAGGCAGACGAATAAAGACAAAGGAGGTGAAATAACGGATGAGAACTTACTGGCCAGAGCCACCAGGCAGCAGAGCAGCAGACCCCACATACTGGAGCAGGAGTGGAGGCTGCTTCTCCACGATCCTGCTTTTATAGCTTCGATCCCCCATCGACCCGATGAGCGGGTCACAGGACAGATAACCCCCCGAGGTGGAGCCATGTCGACCCGTGACATTGTCAGAGCGACACGAACGACATGTGGAAGGTAAACTAAGTGGGTTTGCTCACAAAACAAAGCTAAAAAGTGTGCGATAATGAGCTCAGAGTCAGAGGAGGTTTAGAGATGTGCTTTGATTTACATGAACAAAGGCCGGAGCTATCAAAGGTTCACTTAAATTCACTGTTAAATCCGGTGAGGTGCTGGTCTAATCCCCCCGACCGAAAGCCTCCAAGTGGAGTTAAAGATGCTGCTGGTTTATGTTTTTTACTTCATTTGCAGCACAAAGCTTCCTCCTGGATGAAACCAGCGCTGCTCTTCACGCTGCTTTTAAAAAGCTGCCTCGGCCTGTTTGTGTGTTCGGTTTTGGGGGGTGATGACATCGAGACGCAATCAGCCGGTTGTTGTCTTTCAGGACGGCGTTTGTTTCGCAGCTCTCTGGTGTAATCGTACCTCTGGGGTTCTCAGGCTCCGTTTCAGCCGGTCGTCCCCCGTCGTCGCCACCAGGGGGCTCCAACGCTGCACTTGATCGTTGTGAACATCACAACATGAAAAAGGGAAGTCGGACACAGCTCGTGTTCATTTACTGGAACAGGATGATTGGTTTTTATCTCCAGGTGCAGTCGAGCTCTTTGTTTGTAGTTTAAATAAAGATAGAGATCAAACACGGAAACGAAACAGAAAGAAGCTGCACAAGAACAAATAAAGTTTCCTGTGCAGCGTCTATAGGAGCTCCACTAAATGTTTCAGCGTTAAACACAACATGCCCTCGATGTGCA